TAAACTAAACTCAACAACCTGGAATCCTACCTCCCTCTGGAGTTCTAGTATATGAGATAATCAATCTTTTATGCCAATTTGAGTTGAGGGTTTTCTTTTACTAACAGCCAAAGGTATCCTAATGGGCACAGTGGTCAATCCTGGAGGTCTACAACATAGTTTCTTTTCCATCTAGAGTCATGTGGACTCATTCATTCATTATTCACTACTTAGTTTAATGAGTCTGATCACAGGGCAAAGAGAGGCAGTGCTATGGTTAGAACTACCAGCAATCCCACTTGTGGGAACCCAGAGGAAATGAAATCTGCATCTCGTAGAGACACCTTTATTCTCACATCCATTGTAGCATTATGCACCTAGTCTTTCTGCTTTGGGAATAGCAATAGGTTTTCATTGTGGGTTTCCCTTGAAGGGCTATCTCATAATCTCTGATGAGGCAGCCTGTGGTTGAGGAAATGAGCTATGTAAACCTCACCTTTTGCTCAGACCACTCCCTATGCATCCGAGCTAGGTTAGAATGCCTGTGGTGACCAAACACCCCAAGAGGAATGGAAAGGTGGGTGTTGTGGGGCTAGGAATCGTGCTGCACAGCTTGAAGTGTCTGCTTAGTGAGTGGCTGAGCCTCTGATCGTAAGCAAAGACTGCTGAATCATCCACAGCAACCCGCCCTGAGGCACATAGAAAAAAAAAGACTGTGGTTTTTAAAAGAACAGATTTGAAGGCAGTTATTGCTTTCTTCCCTTCTGGATTCTTCTTCTGAATTATCCTGCTTTGCTGCAAGGAGGCTTACATACTGTCACCTCTTAAAAGCCACCCTCTCTCCTCGCTGTGGGCACGCACACACCCAGCCTGTGTGGTGCTGGGAATAGTCAGAAGCCTGTTCCTTCCCCAGAGTCCCAGGCTGGGGCTGAATCGTTCTCTAGAATAAGAACGGGCAGAAATCAAAGAGGAAACTCTTTTTTGAGAACTGCAAGGGGCAGGGGACATCTGTAACCTGGAGCTGACCGCATCTTTTATTTCTTATTATTTATGTATTTTCCTTTTCTTTCCCCCCCTTGGGCTGCACCCCATGGCACGTGGAACTTAGCAAGCAGGGATTGAGTCCGTGCCCTGTGCAGTGGAAGTGCAGAGTCTTAACCCCTGGACCATCAGGGAAGCCTGACCACAACTTTTGAACACACTGTCTTCTCTTTGATAGGGTCTGTGGACTGGGGGAAAAAAAGGTGTAATGTGAAAGTTGTGAGTTAAGCTTTATTTGGGGGCAGAATGGGGACTCCAGCATGGAGGACAGCACTCAGATATCTCCAGGAGCTGCTCCGAAGGGGTAGGAGGAAGCCTAAAGGATGTGCGGTTTTGGGGAAGGGAGTTAAGGACAATCAAGCGTAGGTTTTGGCAGAAGGTGGCCGCTGGTCACAAGAAGGTGGCTGCTGGTCACGAGGAGCAGATGCGTCCGTTAATGATTTTAGTGCTTTTCCAGGTATGAGCAAGAAACCGAGCTCATAAAACCCTCTCCTGGAAACATCTGTCAATAACTACCTGAAGGCCTGTCCTGCCTGTCTTCCCAGAGCCCAGAGCGCCTCTCTCCTGATCCGCCTTCACTCCTTCAGGGTGTGTTGAAGCCAACGACTGCAGCGGCCGGTGAAGTTCTTCCCTGCAGACGCAGATGGCAAGGACCCATGTTCAGGTCTCACAACATTCGTCCCATATTCCCAAAGCAGAACCTTCGTAACTACATTTCCCAGCTTCCCTCACTGCCAGATTCAGGCATGTGATCTAGGTTCTGCCAGTCAGACACAGACATCGCAACTCTGGATTCAGAAGCAAGCCGAGGGCGGAAGAGAGTTGGGGGTGCCCAGTGCTGTAGACACAGGGAGGGGCAGACAGCGCTGACTCCGGTGGTTCTGTCGGAGGCTGCAGGGGCAACTGTCCCATCGACCTGTCGGAGACCTGGCTTTGAGCCCTGAACGCGCAAGTCCAGCCTTGAGCTCCGGGCTTCCCCGCTCACTGTCTGCTCACAGAGCTTTCCTTTCCTCCTTAGGCAACTCAAAGCAGATGCTGTTCCCTGAAGCTGAAATTTCCCCAACTCAGTAGGCACTCACACATAGGTGATAGGATTCCACTTGCAAAACAAGGGTTCAAGAAAGCTGTCTGTGTAGAGAAATGTATTATCTATTCACTAAAAGGATTCTGAGCTTTCTTTTTTAATTTTTATTTTTTGCTGGACTATAGTTGATTTACAGTGTCGCTTGGTTTCAGGCGTACAGCGAAGTGATTCCGTCACACATATACATCATCTGTTATTTTTCAGATTCTCTTTTCCATGTAGGTCATCACAGAGTACTTAGTAGACTTCCCTGTGCTGTGGGTCCTTGTTGATGATCTATCTTATATGTAATAGTGTGTCTATGTTAGTCCCGAAAGTATTATTATTATATATATATATAATAGTGTGTCTATGTTAATCCCGAACGTCTATTTTATCACTCCCCCACCTTTCCCCTGGGGTAGCCATAACTTTGTTTTCTATGTCTGTGAATCTGTTTCTGTTTTATAAACAAGTTCATTTGTATCATCTTTCAAGATTTTGTGTATAAGCGATATGTGGCTTTCTCTTTCTGAGTTACTTCACTTAATGTGATCATCTCTAGGGCCATCCATGCTGCGCAAGTGGCATTATTTCCTTCTTTTTAAGGTTAGGTAATATTCCATTGTATTTATGCACCACATCGTCTTCATCTATTCACTGACGGATGAACCAAGGTTTGACGCAGGGGAGCTTGCCAGTGTCAAGGCATTTGAGTGAGCAGTTCCTGTGTCTAGGTCAGGACAGGTGAGGGAAACATAATTGCAACCAAAACAAGGATCACATCCGCTCTCATAAAACAACCAAACAAGTGACATCTAGATGGGGTTATTCCAGAAGCATTGCCTTCCTCTTCCGACCTGAAACGCCACCCCTAGAGAAATGTCCGCTGGGCCTGGAAAGGTTGTTTCCATCTTTATGAGTGTCCTGTGTGTGTGCGTGCTAAGTCGCTTCAGTCGTGTCTGACTTTGCAGCCCTGTGGACTGTAGCCCGCCGGGCTCCTCTGTCCGTGGGATTCTCCAGGCAAGAATTCTGGAGTGGGTTACCATGCCCTCCTCCGGGATCTTCCCAACTTGCGTCTCTCAGGTCTCCTGCATTGGCAGGTGGGTTCTTGACCGCTGGCGCCGCCTGGGAAGCCCTCTGTGTGTCCTGCGTGCGTGCTAGGTCGCTCAGTCATGTCTGACTCTCTGTGACCCCGTGGACTGTAGCCCACCAGGCTCCTCCAAGCATGGGATTCTCCAGGCAAGAGCACTGGAGTGGGTCGCCATGCCCTCCTCCAAGGCATCTTCCCAACCCAGGAATCAAACCAGGTCTCCTGCATTGCAGGCAGATTCTTTACCAGCTGAGCCACCAGGAAGCCCAGGAATACTGGAGTGGGTAGCCTATCCCTTCTCCAGGGGATCTCCCTAACCCAGGAATCAAACCAGGTCTCCCGCATTGCAGGCAGATTCTTTACCAGCTGAACCACCAGGGCAGCCCCCTGGAGGGTAAATGCCGACGACAGCGCTTTCCCTTATCATCGGCTGCCTGAGGCTTTAGTGGGCTCAGCCCAGGACTGCGTTCTTGAGAAAAAGGGCCTAGGCTATCCCAAGAAGAGGAAGAGTTCCCCTGGCTCTGAATAAGCTGGGAGCCAATGTAGTTTTAAAAGAATTACAACACCGCACAACTTGTGTGATTCTTTGATAATCAAAGCAAAGTCAAGATAAATCTCTTCACCGTTTCAAATGTGATTTCCCCAAATGAAAGAAATCTAAACATATGGCAAGCAGCTTTAAAATCTGTTAATGTGTGAATGCCATGATAAAAATGGAACTGGGGAGCGTCGTGAACTGCCAGGCCATGTTCTCAGAGAATCAAGGGGCTCTTGGAAGCCTGTCTTCTCCCTCTGCTGTGGAGCTGACTAAATCTGGCTGTGGGGACTACCTCTCCCAGACTGGTGGTGGAATATTGAAGAAATGGCGCTGCTTGCTAGGCCTAAATATCCTGGCAGAGGGTCTCAAAATGAGGTAGTAGAAACACTGTGAAATGCTACAGAATATCTGATGACTGTAGAAGTTTGAATCCCAGTTCCCTTGAGTGTGTGACCTTGGGCAAGTCAGCGGACCTGACTCTGTTTCCTTGGCTATTAAGTGAGAAGTGTCATCTCAGCTTACGAAACTCTTATGAGGAGAATATCAGTAACATCGACAAAATACCTGGTCATGGTAAGGACTGTGAAAATGGGAATTATTACATGATAAAGAAGGCCAGCTTCTATGTTCATCCTAGCCCATCTGCTGGTAATAAAGCAAGTCTGAGCTTCTAGTAGTGGCATCTATAAAGGATTCGGTAAGTGGCTCTCAGAGGGGAAAGCTAAAAATTCAGCCCGCCTTCATCCATAAGCACCAAAGTTCATTATCAAGCTGTTTGTTTCCTTTTTGCTGTTGTTTTCTGGGGTTTGTGTGTGTGTTTGCGCCCGGCAGCACATGGGGCCTTAGTTCCCCAACCAGGGATCAAACCCACGCTCCCTGCATGGGAGCGTGGAGTCAACCACTGGGAAGTCCCAAGCTGTTTGTTAGTCTCAGCGCTAATCACTGCCTCTTATCTGGAACTGAAATAAGAGAACTGCCTGCCCTTTGGACAATATGTTTAAGCTTTTATTGTGAATGGTAACAGGTTGGGGACTGGAATCTAATAGCCTAGATGTAAAGAACATTAATTAGAAGACTCTTTATGGACAATTTTTCACAGCAAACAAGTTCAAACCAGAAGATGTTGCTTGAAAATCATGACTTTAGTCAAAGTTGAAAGGTACAAGAATAGTTAAGTATTTTGCACAAAGGAAATTTGTTGATGATCCAGTAGAACTGATGCCCATAGAACGCAGTTTCTTAAGGGTTTTGTTTTGCTTCTTTGAGGGAGGCGGCTATTGTCACTGTCAGTTCAGCTGGGGGTTCCTTCCTTCATTCATGCTGAGAACCTGCAGTGAAGAGTCCACCAAGTTAAAAAATATTAGAAAGAGTTAAGCAGATGGAGTTAGTGATGCTGAAGTCTAATGCTAGAAAGTAAATCCATTCCCAACAAACCATCACTTGGGAGCTTGGTAGAAAGGCAGATTCCTGGGTCTACCCCAGACCTACTGAACTGGAAATACTGGGAATGGGACCCAGTGATCTGTGATCTCACAAGACCTCCACGTGACTTTGAACACATTAATACTTAGAACCACAGCTGTCCCCCGAGAGGGAAATTAACGTCCTCTTTTTGGGAAGCCCCTATATTTTCAGGTCTTTTTGTTATATTAGCTTACTTTATGCCCTGATGTGACTACACAGATGTAGTCACATATATATTTTCACAAAGTTTTCTGCATATTCACAAAGTTTTAAGAAAACTTTTCTTAAAAATGTATCTTATTGAAATGTAATTGATTTATAATGCATTAATTTCTGCACTCTAGCAAAGTGATCCAGTTACACATATATATGCATTCTTTTTTCCTGTTCTTTTCCATTATAGTTTCTCACAGGATATTGAAAACAGTTCCCTGTGTCATACACCTGTGTTCATCTGCTCCGTGTGGAACAGTTTACTGCCTCTGCGAATCCCAGACGCCCAATTCATCCTTCCCCCACCCCCTCCCACCCTTGGCAACCACAAGTCCCATCTCTTTGTCACTCTGTCTCTGTTTCACAGATAAGTGCATTTACACAGGTATAGTTTGACTAACATTGGAAATGTAAATGTATTATTTCCAGGAATTTGCTACTAAAGTGGCAGCTGGATGGGGGAATTGCTAAAGAATGTGGAATCTTAATTGCCACTTTCCTTCTCTGGCAAAGCCTCCTTACACAAGTCAAAGCTAGCTCATGAATTACACAATTACACATTATAAACCCATGACTGTAAATGGCAGTCGTGTGGGCAACTTGGGAAGAGGAGCTAATGTGGGTTTCTGCCAGTTCTACATTGCTTGTGGCTGGCTTGTTGTGGCTTCTGTTCAAATTAGCTAAGACTGAAGAAAGGATGAGTAGCTTTGATTTTAAACCACTTGTTTTGTTCCCATACAGCACCCTTTACCCACTGAGATGAGAAAACACTTTTTATCCAGACGAGAGCTTATTACACCTTCCCAGATTCTCCGGCAATTCAGGTTCCCCAACATCCAGACCAGCCATTTGTTCCTAATAAAGGAATTACTGAGATTCTCAGGTCAGTTATTACCTGCTCAGTGGCTCGATTGTTTTGACCAGGTGATAATGAAGCCAGGGCCTGGGGTTCAATTCCCACACAGGCCAATTAGCTTTGCTTTCCTCCAGGAGGCCAGGTTGCACTATTAAGGGTCACCAGCCTGCCTGAAGATGCAGCCATACATTTGTGATATGAGCCACTGCTCACACAAGGGGTCAGCAGAGGTCAAGCCGCATGGAAGTCCCCGGCGTTGGCTCAGCATATTGAATCTGAGAGTTTGGCTCAGGAGAATGGAAGTAAAGTGACAATAAAAAGACAAATTGTGTAACCGAGGAAAATCAAGGGCAGGAGAAGGGCCCATGGTTAGGGGTAGGAAGGAACTGTACTAGAGGTGGGGGCCGGCTTCTCTCTGCTCCTTCATATAAATGGTCAGAGTAATCATAAGCTTTTTAGTTATTCTCAAGTGTGTGTTGTTTTCGCGATACTTGGCTACCTTTAGAGCGTTTCACATGTTAATAGATAAAGTTACCCCCTGCTGATCTGATGGGACAGTCAGAGCAGTCCCTTAACAGTGAGGGCAGGGGCTTCCCTGGTGGCCCGTGGTTAGGACTCCGCACTTGGAACACAGCGGGTACGAGTTCCATCCCTGGTCCAGGAACTAAGATCCTGCATGCCTCGTGGTGAGGCCAAACTAAATTAAAATAGTACTGACTTAAAAAGAAAAAAAAATTTTAAGTGAGGGCAAATTTGTACGCTTACTTTCTTTCCATAAACACTCCTTGCAATTCATTCTCCATGTCCCTTCCCCCATGTCAACCAAATAAGAGAAAAAATGCTAGGCTGAAAAAAGAAGAAGAAAAAAAAAGAGAGAAAGAAAAAAAAGAAGAAGAAGAAGAAGAAAAACCAATGAACTGGGTCCAGATTACAAAAGGAACCCAAAGACCAACCTCAGCATTCACTGAAACTCAGGACAAACCACAGCCACCTCCAGGATTATGGATTAGATTCTGGGGCTGAGCTGAACACTTTCATGTTATAGAAACCATAGGGTGAAAATTCCATTAACTTTTGTGAGAAGGGAAGAGTTAAAAGATATAGGTTTAACCTTGAAAAATTACTGGCCATAATTGCTAATAAAGTTCTGGATCCTGTTGGCCATGATATACTAGTCTAGGTTCAGTGTGCTTTATACAAATCTTTTCCTGAATCAAGTAAATATCTTTGTTATGAAACATAGGAAGATGCTCAGTTTCAACTACAGGTCTGGGAGGTTTGGCAGCAGGACTTGATGCTTTATTCCTAAAATGGGAGAGGGGAGCATGTGGATAGTTTTTAATTTTTAGAAAAGTCCTGCTGTTAATTCTGCTAATGCTTAGCTGAATTGTTAAACTTCTTTCTAACACTGAGAGATATAAGGATTTCTAATAGAATGATCCTCTTGGTACTTCCTCTGTGTAAGATAACTGTAGGATGTTGTCAATTTTCATATCAACATACTTTCATTGAGGTGGAGTTTCTAAAGCAAGAGAAGTGATCAACTGTTTTGGTCTCTGCAAAGACTAACTGTTGAATTTGTCTTTCATGCTGCTGGGAAATATATCGAAAAGAATGGGACCAGTGTGTGCAATAGCTAATTATTCAATCTGAGGTGGAATTAAATGAGATGGGCTTTCTGGAACTGTAAAAAGAGGAATGGAACAGAGCATAAAGAGATGTAATAGAAAAGCAGGGTCTGATTAGAAAAAGATGACTTTTTCAGCTCACACTGCATATTGATAAATATTGTCCCCTTAAAACAGTCACTCTCTGTAACTGCCCACCCAATCCATCGTATAATAATGCCACTCAAAGACCTTTTTGGAGCTTTTCTTTTGCAATTGCTTTTGAAGTTTACAGAATGTCCTTCTTAAGATGGCCCAAAAACTTTGATCCTTGAGGGAGGAGTTGCACTTTTCAAAACATTCCAGAGTTATGCAGAACTAGGTTTGGGGGAATAAAGCAACTCAAGCGGATGTTGTTGCCTGAGTCAAAATGAAGCACTGTGGATTAATAACATGGTAGGATGTGGTGTGTCTGCCCGTGTGCTCAGTCGTGGCCGACTGTATGCAACCCCATGGACTGTAGCCTGCCAGGTTCCTCTGTCCATGGGATTCTCCAGGCAAGAATCCTGGAGTGGGCTGCCATGCCCTCCCTCAGGGGAATCACCCCAACCCAGGGATCGAAGCTGAGTCTCCGGGTCTCCTGCATTGGCAGGCAGCTTCTTTACCACTAAGACCCCTGGGAAGCCAGGGCGTGGAGAGGTGGTATTCTATGAATGCTCTGTGAGGGTAAGTCCATTTCAGTGTTCGCTATTTCAGAGGGTTTTACGGTGGTGATCACAGTTAGTCTTCTGACCACGGAGAAGGCCCTGCTATTGGATATCCACCCACAGGAAGCAAAGCACTTGACCAAGAATAGCCCCAGGCCAGCCAGGGCCCAAGAAATCAATCACAAATCCCCAGAACCCTCAGAGCCACGTGATTCATTAGCAGACATAGGAGCTTATATAACACCGGCGTGGACCAGAGACTCAGCTCCTTGGGGCTCTGCACAAAGTTGGTACTTATTTCTGTATCAGTTGATGTAATCCAGATTTGCTTTCTGAATAAAGGCTTTAGAAGAGACTTCCTCTCTAGGTGCTTAATGCAACAAATAACCTTTTTTTTGTTTTCATTTAGAACAGAGAACCCACAATAGACTGACGCAGAAAGGCTGTGAGAGACCAGCCAAGGCCTGGCCACACCAGCCCGGAGCCTCTACCAAGGGGCCACCAGTCAGAGGCAACCACTGTGAGAGCTCCCCAAGGTCTGCGAGGGAAGCACGACGTTATTTTCACCAGAAGCAGCAAGAGGGAAGGCTGCCACTGCCCCCCGAACCCTTCATTTCTAGGATCAGCAGGACCATGCCTCCCCTCGAACGGCGGCAGACTGTCCAAGGCAGCCCGCACCGGCTTCTCCCGTGAAAGGCTACATGGCTGGTCTCCAAGTATCCTCACCTTTAAAATGGAGAGAGGAAGAGAATCTTCCTGAATCTTCCTCCTAAGACTCCTGTGAGCATCCACTCAAGGAAATGGGTAGAGGTAAGCTCTTCTACCCAGTACTTGGATTATGGAAAATACTTACTAACACTAGTGGTTATTATTCTTTTTAATTAATTTTTTATTGGAGTATAGTTTATTTACAATGTTGTGTTAGTTTGGCTATTATTATTAGGATTTCAATGATTACTTTTGCCTTTTGTCATAAATTTCATCGAAAGTTCTTAAAAGTTAGCAAGACATCTCATTTTCAGTTGCCCTGCTTTCTTCCTATAAATTTTATTTTCTCTTTCATCTTGTTTACTGTCTTTGTACCTAACAGTGCCAATTTGGTATAAATCTTTTCCTCTGTCCTCTGTAAAATCACATACAGAATGAATTAGTTGGCCTGAGATATTTTCACCAAGTTTTAAAATATTCAGATGAGACTCAAACTAGGTAAATTTGGAACAAATATGAAGGGGTATGAGCTTGCATCCAAAGTAGCAAACGAGACTGCTCTCTTGCAAAAGGCTCTTCCACTAGTGTTCATCAAAAAGTAAACATATCTTGGGACTTCCTTGGTGGCCACGTAGGGGTTAAGAATTCACCTTCAAATGCATGGGATGAGAGTTTGATCCCTGGTCAGGGAACTAGGACCCCCATGCCAAGGCTAAAAGTTCACGAGCCGCACCTAGAGATCCTACACGCTGCAACTAAAGAGATTTGCAATGAAGATTGAAGATCCTGTGTGCTGCAGCTCAGACCCAGCGCAGCCAAATAAATTAATCTTTAAAATGTATACACATGAATAAACATATCTAGAGTTCAACAGGAATCAACTCAAATAATCTATGGCCTCATGCTCAAAATATTGGGGAAGGATGTGGTAGATTACAAAACACTACCAATGCACAATTGCTACCAAAACTCCTAAACAGGAGTTCAGTATGTTAGGAGGAAAGATGATTGATGCTAGCGTGGGGACCGGCCACGCGTCCTCTGAGCATGTACGGCGTCAGCCTGCAGGAGCCGCTGTGAAGAGCAGCTTTGTCCTTCCCCGCGCACAGACCTCCCCTCCTTCCAACTTCCCCACGCGCCTTCCACTCCCACCCCAGCCCACCTCTCCCGACCTCCACCTCCCCGGCATGTTCACTGTACCCTGGAGTCTCGAACCTGCGTCTTTGAAGTTGCTGACGTCCTCTGAGTCCCAGGCAGGCTGGTGAAAGCTCAGGGGCTCCTGCGGAGGCGGCTGGTGGCCTCGGGCCGCCTTTGCTTGTAGGAGGCTCAGCAAGTTCTTTGTCGCTTCTTCCCACTGGACGTACTCCCTCAGCTGTTCCTTCAGACTGTCCTCCTCCTGAAGTTGTGCGGAATCTGCTCTTTTTTTCCCCATTAAGTGTCCTGTTCAAAAGCAGAATGGAGAAGGAAATGGCACCCCACTCCAGTGTTCTTGCCTGGAGAATCCCAGGGACAGAGGAGGCTGGTGGGCGACAGTCCATGGGGTCGCACAGAGTCGGACACGACTGAGCGACTTAGCAGCAGCAGGAGCAAAAGCGGAAACCATACACAGCCCGTATTTATAATAACTGGAAATGACGCCTAACCTTTAAAATTATGAATCACTATCTTGTACACGTGTAACTTACATAACATTGGATGTCAGTTATACCCCAATTTTAAAAAAGGATGTTCAATGCCACATTCATAAAAAATAAAACAAGCATATACTCTGGTTCAAAAAAAAAAAACCCAACAAAACCAAAAACAGCATGCCACTAATTTAACCCAGGGGAATGAACGAATGAGAAATTTAAAAAGGCACCAACTGCGTTTGTGCTTCTTCCTCCTAAATGCAATCTAAATTGCACTTTATTAGGAGGAGGAGTTAGTTTGTAAACAACTGACAGATTTTGCTCCCAGCTCAAAATCCCTAATGATTGGACAGAATTCAGAACCGCAACTCGGGAGCCCTGGGTCTGGTCCCTCTGCTCACTAGCCTGGTGACCTCTCTCAAGTCATACAGCACCCCCAGCGTTCAACTTTGTCAACCATAAATGAACGTGTTGGGTCACATGACATCAAAGGAACCTTCCATATCTAAAATTCTATCACCAGTTCTGCGTGTGTAGAATTCTATTCCCAGCTAAAGGACGGCATTTGAACATCTTCCCCAGTCAATTTTGAATTTCTCCTGAAAAGAAAAGTCTCCATGCTCTTCTTTGTGTGATTAAAAAGGTGTTGCTTTCCTCTTATCTGTACCAAAGGAATTTTTCATTTAAACTTTCTTAGAATTTTAGCTGAGACTGAACCTAAAATTGCACCTAGAAATTACAGTTTGCAATGAAAAATAAGTTGAAGACAAGTTCTGGCCGATGTGTTTCAGCCACCAAGATGCAGGATTTTTCTCTTGGAGGTTAAAATGGTCATAAAAGTCTATCAGTCGCTCCAGAGACGAGCATTTGCCACAAAAAACAAATAAAAGTTGCTATGCAAGAGGCCAAACCACTAAAAACATAAAAATTTATGTTCGCAAATGGGGTTAGCCATAGGATCAGAAGGGGTATGAAATTTAACGACTGCATTCCTAACACTTTAGCCCATGGCTTAAATATACTCACGGTATCTTATTTACTTTCTTCGGTTGATTTTCCTCATTTCTCTGTAATTGGATTTTGTTGTTGTTTAATTGCTAAGTTGTATCCAACTCTTTTGCGACCACATGGACAGTAGCCCCCCAGGCTCCTCTGTCCATGGGATTTCCCAGGCAAGGATACTGGGTTGCCATTTCCTTCTCTAGGGGATCTTCCTGACCCAGGGATCAAACTCTAATCTGCATTGCAGGTAGATTCTTTACCAGTGAGTCACCAGGGCAATCTGTGTAATCGAGTTGTAGAACACTTAATTTCTCACATTAATAAAACGATGGTGCATTTGATTTAAAGTTCACAAGGAAAGAGCTCTTTGTGGCTGTAGTGTTGACTGGCATTAGAAGTATGTAAGGCAAAGACCGTGAAAAAGGTATTGATAGACCCCGAGACCACTTGAAATTGAAGGAGGCTCCTTCTAACAGCTCTGTCGACTAAGAGAGAAGCCCAGACCTTGACTTTATTGCTTGTGTGTGTAACTTACAGTCCACAGGATGTTTAAATGCGGACTATTTCATTTGACCCACACCCCAATCAGTTTGATGAAAATGAGGCTTGCCAAAGGTTGCACACGTGCAAGTAAAGATCCTGGGATTAAAATCAGCTCGCAGTCCCGACTCTACGGTATTATACTGCTTTTCAAGTGTCTTTGAACTTCCTAAGAATAGAAGGCAGTTAGAAATCATTCTGGGGCTTGGAAATAAGGGTAAAGTTTACAAAAGGCTTTCTAATGTCATCAAAAGGAATGGTGATCATATATCACTATGTCATGACTCATTATGTAACTCAGAAAAATTGATTCTGTGCACATTGGGAAGCCTGAAAAGGAGGTTTTCCTGCATTGTAGTGTGAGCTTTGCCAAGTCGCTTAGGGCCTGACGCTTCACACAATTTTAAGACTCGATTGAGGACACTGTCCCAAGTGAAGGATTGGCGTCTTGAAAGGCTGGCTCCCCACTTATCTGCTGGGTGACCTTGGTGTCCAGACATGCACTAAATAACCTTGCCTTCAGCCATCTAAATGATCATGTTGCACAACTTCCCAGGAAGTAGCAAGTCACTTGGCTTTATTAATATGGAGGAAATTGAATCATGATAATGGGAAAGCAGGGTTAGAATCTGATGCTCCCAATAATGACCTTGTGTCTCTTGCTCTTGATCATTGCCTGTCATCTAGTTAGGATCCTGGAAATGAGAAAGGCATTATTGGCACTGAAGCGGAGGGACGATGGAGATATTTTTACAAAGAAGGACTTTGTTTTTGTCATGCTTGAATAATTTTGTGACTTTTCTAAAATGGAAGGCTAAAGTAGGACTCCATTCTTTGGGTGATTTAACATAGACTCTTGGGGGGCTTCCTGGATGGCTCAGTGGTAAAGAATCCGCCTGCCGAAGCAGGACACACAGGAGATTCAGGTTCGATCCCTGGGCGGGGGGAGGAGGAAATGGCAACCCACTTCAATATTCTTGCCTGGGAAATCCCCTGGACAGAGGAGCCTGGCAGGCTACAGTTCATGGGGTCGCAAAGAGTCGGACACGACTGAGCCTAGCACATAGCTACACACAGCTACTGGGACCCTGTACTGAATTTCAGTATTTGCCATTTTGGTGGCTGGGTGTTCAGACTCCCTTCCCCAGACCACAGACTTTTTTCCTTTTCTAAGGAAAGTGCATCACCTATAACATTCCAGGGAAGCACACATCCCCTGGGTCCTAATGCACTACTTAGCTAGTGACCGTCAACCAAATAGTCGTCTCCATGACAACATGGATGATGTGCCCACTTCCATCTCTTCTCCCATCATCATTTGTTATGTGTCCATATCACATTAATGGAGATCTCAGCACAGACAAAAGACAGGCACTAGAAAAAAATAAACCCTCGCTGGGGGTGGGGAGGTGGGTTTTATCCTTTTTTATCACTTAGAAATATCACTAAAATGGCAGGTTTGCAAGAGAAAAGAATTTTCTTGAACTGCAAACTTGAAGATTATCCTAACTTCAGACGATATCTATTAAGACAGAAAGTGTTGAGTATAAGAGCTGGTTTTTCTTTCTTTTTGCGGGGGGGAAGTGACACTTCAGCCGTGTTTCACAGTGACTGCTGCAGCACAATTATGTAAACCTTTCTACAGCGGGACACTGGCGTTCGGAATTGAACCTTCCATGGCACGCTCGACATCAGAGTCAGAACCACGGCCAGAAACACTTCAAGGGCACAGAGGGGAGAGGTCCCAGTATTAGTGCTGACCTGTATTTTCATCACACACAAAACATTTCCATGAACATCAAGCCAGGTAAGAACTGGTTAAGTTTTTAGTCTGTTAACTTCCTCTCCACGGCCACATCACGTTCCTCTCAGCTGGAAGAAGCAAATCACTTAACAAACCTGCAAATTTGGGCTGACAGCTTCTTCACAGTCAGCGGTATGTGGCTTTCGTTTGCTTTAATTAAAAGCAAACTGCATGTCTTCAGTGATTGAGGAGGACAGGCATTTACTTAGAGCAGAAAGCTCAGTTTAAAGCCTAGCGTGTTGTTCATGCTTGTGAATGCTCGCAGGCCAATAGAGGGCACATCCACCCAAAGCAAACTTCTTCGCCACTGCAGAAAAAGTTGAGTCACTTTCAACTCAAATGTGATTCTCTACATCACCTCCCTCTTTCCCTTCATCAACTCTGCACAACTCTGAAAAAGGAAAATGAGCGTGTTTGCAAACACAGAATAAGACAATGTGGGGTGCCACTGGTCAGTACTCTTTGGAGCTGGGAACAAATGTACGGATGCCAAGAGGGAGAGAGAGGGCGGGAGGAACTGAGAGCTTGGGATGGACACAGAAACACTGTTGACATCGTGCACAAAACGGATAACGATGAGAACATGCCGTGGAGCACAGGGAACTCTACTTGAGGCACCGTGGTGGCCTGAATGGGAAGGAACTCCAAAAGGAAGCGGATGATGGATGCGCACGGCTGACTCACTGTGTCCACAGCAGAAACTAAGGCGGCTTTGTAAAGCAAGTACACTCCAATAAAAATTAGAAGGGCATTTTTATTTTTATTTTTTTAAGGCCTGAACCGGGCCTTAGTTATGACACGTGGGATCTAGTTCCCTGACCAGGGATCGGACCCGGGACCCCTAAGTTGAGAGCATGGAGTCATCACCACTGGACCACTAGGGAAGTCCCCAAAATTAACCTTTAAAAAGACACAACTTAATTCTAGCTTTCTCGATAGCTCTCTTGTCCTGCTTTTGGCCTTCAAGGGTTACCTAACGATGAGCCTTTTTAGTACAAAAACATGTATGAGCAAAAATAGGCTAGAAATCTGGAGGTTTCCACCTTCTCAGCCCATTGGCTGCTGGCCAGACTAGGCAATGACCACTTGATCTAAACTCCCAGGAGCCCTTTTTCAGTATTGATAGGGACAGATTAAAGGGACAAAATAGGTAATTAACTAGTTAACCCCACTAGGGGATTGTAAGTAGGAAAAATGTGGGAGACCGCTGTAAGTTCACAATTACTCAAGAGAACAGGTTTGCTTAATGACAAAACCAAGCAGGCTTGCTTACAACAAAACCACGCAACAGAAGTGTGAGACATGTCCTTAAACAATAAAACAATGGTGGCATGAGACCCACATCCTGCCAGTGAGCTCAGTAAGTTAATGGTCCTTAGGACATGCTCTGGGGACGCACAAAAAAACAAGAGTTTGTAGACCTAGTTTGACCACATAGGGACCACAGAACTCCCCTCCCCAACCTGGAGGAGTAGCTGATGGTGGAAGCATGACCCTCTACTCATAGCAAAGAAGTTCTTCTCCCCCTCCCTGTTTTTCCTTTGATCATGAAACCATAGCCCAGTAAGGTCTCAAGGTGCAGCATTTCTCACTGGCCAACTTGTCAACCTCACAAGCAGCCTTTTATAATAAACCACTTATTATCTATCTCTTTGCCTCTCCCTGAATTCTTTTCTGCACTAAGACACAAAGGGCCTGTGGACCCAGAGCTCTTCAGAACCCCCCCCCCCCCAACACACCCAGCTGGTTCAGTATCAGTGCTAGGTTTGGCTTCTCTGTACCTTCCAAGTCTCCTTCTCTCTGGGTGTGCAGGGCTTTTCACTCATCCCCATCTTTCCTTTCTATACCCGGCTCCTGGGCTTCACTGTCCCTCGAAGATGACAGATACCTTCCTGTCTGGGGTTGAGGACTTAGCACACGATTCCTTAAGTAGTCAAGAAAACTATGCTATTGCAACCCCGAGCTCTCCATTTCTCTGCGGGAACCCTGCACAAGGCACAGGGTCTGAGCATCTGAAGTTCTAACCTCACACTCCACGCCCCCCGCCCCCATAAACGCATCCTAGTCTTCACACAGAGATGCTGTAACGCCTCGAAGGGTTGAATTAGCAGGTATCTTTCCAACACACCCTCCCACCTCTCCTAAGTAGATGACTAAGGAAATCGTGAAACACACACGCCGCCTGACATCTCTCCAGGGATCGACTGGCTTCCGGGGAAATGCTGGGTTATTGGAGCTGGCTGTGGTGTAGAGGGGAGGTGTCCGAGGAAGCCGAACGCTTTGCATTGTTTGCCAAAGCCTCTGCTCCGCACGGCAGAGGGCTCGGGGTGATGTCCAAGCGGCGGGGTCGCTCCGGGCTGCCCGGGAAGGCAGCGAGCGCGCGCTCCGCGGCCCGGCGCCCAACCCGCCTAGGTGCCAGGCCGGGACCCACACACCTCCAAGCCAGGAGAGCAGGACTTACAGGCGGAGGGGCAGGGGGAAGGAGCGAGGTTAGAGGGCGAGAGAGGCGGAGAAAATTAGGACTCTGGGGACAGAGACACGGGATCCGCGTGGAGACCGGGTGATTCCCCGAGCGCAGAGCCTGCTGGATGGAAAGACGGAAAAGAGGCAAAAGGGCAGAGAAAAGAAAATCGCTTCAAGGCAAAAAAAAAAAAAAGACTGAGGAAATTCAGGCGGGCCCCAAACCCAGGTGGGAATCAAGCGCTGAACGGATCTGAAAGGCGGGGTGGGTGCCGCGCCCCGGGCCCACACCTGTGGCTTTGTGAGGCGCAAAGGCGCAGACGCCGGGCTGGACCAGGGCTCCGGGACTCCCTGGGGACCCAGATCCCTGAAATTGTTCGGGGAAAGAACCGTGCCAGGCAGGGTTGTGATTAGGTGGATAAAATGTGGTGCAGGGAGATGCCGCGGAGAGTTATCTCTGGGATTTGGAAGCGCTGCGTGCTGGGTGGGTGTCCTGGGGAGAAGGGAAGACAGCGGGAAGGACCGACGGCCTCCCTGGATGCTGAAGGGCAGGGTGGGCGTTTGGGTCGAAAGGTCGGAGCAAACCCACCCCCCCAAGGCCGAGCCACAGGAATGGCGGGAGATGCGGAGACGCGCGCCGGAGGCCGGCTGGCCCCGCAGGGACTCGAGCGCGCGGGACACTCACCGACCGCCCAGTGGTTGCCGCGCGGGTACATCTTGGCCAGCGCGGTTGCTCTGCCAGCCGTCACCGGGGCGGCCGATCCCCGGGACGCCAGGCAGAGGACCAGCGCCAGCAGGACGAGCAGGACGAGCGGGACCTCGCGGCGACGCATGGTCCCTACGGGAAGCGTCCGGAGCGCCGAGGCGAGGCTTGACGGAGAGCGCGTTCTCCCCACGGAGGCGAGCCCAGGACCCGGAGCTCGGAGGAGCGCCGCCGCCGCCGCCGCCGCTGCCGCCCGCCTCTGCTCCGGCCGCCGCCGCGCCGGGGCTTTATATGCAAGCCCGGGAGGGCGGGGGGGTGGAGGTGGGGGGCTCCTCCGCCGCGGCCCAGAGCGCTCTGACGTCTCCCTGTGGCGAGAGCCGGGGCGCTGGGTCCGCGGTCTCCGAAAACCACCCATCTTCCCGCCCAGGGGTGAAAAGGCGGGATGTACCCGGCGCACCTCTCTCTTTCCCGCGTAGACCCGCCCGCCTCCCCACACTGGACTCCTTTCCACCCACGACGCGGTCGCTCCAACACAATGTAGTGAACCCCTCCTTTCCCAGCCCGTCCAGGGCGCCTCCTGGCTAGCTGCCTTCGGATCCAGCAAGGGGGAGCAAGGACGCGGCCGCCTGACCCCAGGGACGAGGGGCGCGGCGGAGCGAGGGTTGTACAGAGGGATGAGCACGGAGGATGGATATTTTTAGGCCGGGCTTTGCTGGAGGGGATTGGATCCCGAATTGCAAAGCACTTTTGATTCTCAAACCTTTCCCGCTCTGGGGACCACCTCCCTCCTCGCGTCCCAGCCCACGAACCTCCAGACCTTTGCCTCCCTCCTGCAGAGCTCCCCTAACGCCACCCCTAACTCGCCACCTCCAGCAAATACCCTCACCCGACCTGCGTTTTCCGTCCCTGCCCATGAGGTGCAATGGAAGCTGGAGCGGGAAAGACGTGTGATGTGATGGGAACTAGCAACAGTTTTACTACACTCCTGGTTCCCTTCATCAGCGTCCGCGTAGTGGATGAAGCGTTTATGCTGGTTTCCCTGGGCTGCGCCTACCAGACGGCTCAAACTGTCCCTCAACTGCTGTTTGTTTACACACTCCTCTAGAGCTGGGCGTCTTTGCGCTGCGCCTCCTGTTCTCGGAGATGAGGAAGGGCCGCCAGCTCAACTCCCGAGATTCTCAGTGCCATGGATACAAAGCAGGCGGGCGCCATAGCCAGGCCGCAGTGACTGGAAGCGGGGAGGATGCTGTTGCCCAGACTCGGCTGCCAGAGCTGGGGGTGTTGCTACGTTCCTGCTTGCCTCTTCCTCACCAAGTGCTGGTGAGTCACCGGCTGGTGGGCCCCTGCTGGGGTTCCGTGTCAATACTGGCTGTTGATACCAATTAAGCTGAAATCATACATTCTTCTCTATCTGGTGGTCCAATGCACCTGAGCCAGTCTCAGATGATGCCATGTGCATGTCGCATGACTGAGTGTTCTTGAGCTTGGAAGAGTATTTCCATGTATGTGTCTGGCTAGAAGGTTAAAACAAGCACTAATTTCAAGAGCACTATTATTAGCCTGGCAATAGAGTAAAGAATCCTGAGGGATGCCCCCAAGTGAAAATTAAGGGGGGAAAAGCCCACATCAGTTTGGACTCCATCCTGCTGGGCTCCCAGGCTCCGCTTATTAGGAAGCAAATGTTCCACCATCAGACGACCATTTGTAGGTTCACTGCCTCCCACTTGGCGGTGAGCTCGCCTGAACACAGGGACATGGTCTCGTTCCCCTGCAGGCCTGCAAAGCGCCTGGACACAGTGGTGCCCAGCAGCTGTGTGATGAATGAACAGCTAACCTAAGAAATGCTCACATCTAAATGCCTTCTGCAACCCCGTGCCTTCGGAGGGGCATTAAACCTTTCTCTCTGCAGATTAAGCTATAGAAAAATATCATTTCCCCTTAGTTTAATCAAGATTATTTTAGAATCTTTTAATAAAGTTTTTCCCACTATGAGACCACGGGAGAGCAACTGTAAATATAATAAAATGTGGGACTGGTTCTACAGAAAGAGCTAATTCAGGCAGGCCACTCTTTCTTAGGTCTTTTACAGGCCAAGAGACACCTGGGCTCCTCCATTTGTTTCAGGTTTTTCTCTAAACCCCTGGTCTACAGGCTTTCGGCACCCAGTCTCCGGCTTAGATAACGTCACTTGCTTTGGCTTAGTGGGGCATTGCACCCTCTTATCACCGTGGCACAAATTAGGGTACTCCTTCATTGAATTCCCCATTTGGGAACATTTCATCTCATCTTTCTAAATGGATCTCAACCCTTTAGCTACTTCCACAAAAGATCGATGTATCCAACAGCCATGATATTTCAGTGGCATTTGCTTTGCATGTGTGTGTAGGTGGGCTGGGTTCCCGGCCTCCTGTCTTCCAACTCTACTGGAAACTGCCTCCATCTCTGTTTCCCAACTCTTGATTTCCGAGAGAGAAAGGTAATGGACCCAGCTCATTATTTGGACCCAGCTACACTACAAGGGTTCTAGACCACCCAACAGCTTAAAGACGAGGGAGTCTACAATGTCCGAGTCTTCATCAGTGGCTCAGCAGGTAAAGAATCCCTCTGCAATCAGGAGCCACAGGGGACGCAGCTCAATCCCCAGGTCAGCTCAGTCCCTGCGGGAGGGCACGGCAACCCCCTCCAGTGTTCTTGCCTGGAGAACCCCACGGACTGAGGAGTCTGGTGGGCTACAGTCCACGGGGTCGCACAGAGTCGGACATGACCGACTGAGCACAGCTCCATGTCTGATGCGCTCTTATCAGGGTCGGGACACTCGGTGACAGACATGGCAGGGCTCGCTCCACAGGTTCTGCTCAGGAGAGTGCTCCCTAAACAGAAGGTGCGGCAGGACAGGCACCCCAACATCACACACCACGGTCCTCCTCCCCGGATGCTCAGGCACAGGCTTGAACCTGACAGCTCATGGCTTCCGCTGTTTCTTTTCAGCTCAGTGACTCCCAGACTTCACTAAGCGTGTTTATTATTATTATTATTATTCTCTTCCATAAGTTTAGGTTTTGATTTTTTTTTTATTGTGAAACAAGCCATATTGCTTCAATGTCATTTTCATTCATCAAAGACATAGGGACTGTCTGTCCGTCACAGTTTCTAATCAGGTTGAAGTTACCAGTATTACCTTAGAGAGTCCATGTCCTTCTAGCTTACATCAGTGAAACATCGCCTCTTAGTTCATCTTTGCAGCCTCATCAGGGGTAAATGAATGGCCTTTTGAAATACAGAAGATAGCTCACGCATCTCTAACTTTGTCCTAAGGAGAGTCTAGGTTCGGGGGGCGGGGTGTCTCTGTTCAACGTGTAGGGTCTAGTTTTGCTGTCACTAGTCATTTATACCTCGGTGTCTAGGAAGGCTCTGAGGGCAGATCTTGCTGCAGTAAGATGCCCCTCAAGCCCCAGGTCCAGTCCAAAGCTGAGGAAGCAGCCTGCAAAAGCAGCTGGTGAAGGGGCTAGCAGGGAGGCACTTGTGTCCTATACGCACATGCGTTCCAATTCTGCCTCTGCCACTGAGGACCTACCGTGTGACCCAGGCCAGTGACTTAGCATCTGCATCCCGGTTTCTCCACTGATTTGGCAACATCTCCCTCCCTAGGGTGTTAGGAGGATCAAGTGAAGTCATGTCTCTATTAACAGGCAGCTACTTCTCTGTTTTAATTAATAATAATGGAGAACTTTAATTAGCATAAGCTAATTTTTACCTTAGATGTGAGTGTCGAGATGGCTTAATTTCCTCACTCATTGCCTAACCCAATGCCATGTGCTATGTTGATCCGCCAAGGAGGACTGCCCTCAGTGAGCATCTAGCGTGTCCCAGGCATTGTGCATGGGTGGATGTGCAGTCCTCACAGCTGTCCTCTGACGTGGATGTTATTTGTCCTGTTTTATAGACGAATGGCTTCCTCGGTGGCTCACTCGCTGAAGAGTCTGCCTGCAATGCAGGAGACCTGGGTTCGATCCCTGGGTCAGGAGGATCCTCTGGAGAAGGAAATGGCAACCCACTCCAGTAATCTTGCCTGGAGAATCCCATGGAGGGAGGAGCCTGGTGGGCTACAGTCCATGGGGTCGCAAAGAGTCGGACAGGACTGAGTGACTAACACACTATCGATGAGGAAACAGGCACGGGAGGGTTAAATAACTTGCTCTTAGGGAAATTAAAATGGAGGAAATCTTATTCAGGCTCCAGAAGCAGGAGAGCAGACCTCTGACCCACTTCCAACCTGCCTGGACACCGTCCGGATTCTGTACCCGCCTGCAAGGCCAGCAAGGCAGGTGGCACTTTAGAGAAGAAAAGGAGTGGGTCTTGGAATTCTTGAGCCCCGGGAAGTCTGGCCCACCCTCCAGGATCTAAGACATCTTATGGCTAACGGGGTGAAACAAACAGCATTGTAAAAGTTAAAGTAAAACCGGAGCTGCAATTTTGCGCACAAACTGATGATGATACCAGTTTGAGGACTGGGATCTTAAGCAGGAGCCCCCAAAACGGCAATTTGAAGTCTCACCCATGGGGGGAGGCACCACCCAGGGCCCTCTCCCGGTTGGGACCCCAGATTGCTATCAAGGAGGGACTTCGCAGTGCTGTTCAAGTCTGGACGCAGGTCGGCCCAGTTTGGTGATGTATATATGCAGTTACTTCCCTTTACTCTTTCCATTTCTTTTTTTCCTAATGACTGTATATTGAAGTTAAGTTAAATAACCTTCTGTTAAAAGTTGAGATTGCTTATTTGTATGTAACGAATGCTTTCTTTTGTTAACGAAGACCTTAAACCTAAAATGAAAGTAGGGGCTTCCCTGGTGTCTCAGTGGTGAGGTGTCCATCTGCCAGTGCAGGAGACGCGGGTTCGGTCCCTAATCTGGGAGGATCTCACATGTGGTGGGATGGCTGGACCTGTGTGCCACGGCGGCTGAGCCGGCACTCTGGAGCCCGGGAGCCACAGCTGGTGACCCACGTGCTGTAACTGCTGGGGCCCCTGTTCCCTGAAGCCTGTGCTCCACGGCAGGGGACGCTGCCACTGTGAGGGGCCCGCTCACTGGAGCCGGAGGCGGCCCCCCGACAATCACAAGTAGAGAAACAAAGCCCTTGCAGTAATGAAGACCCAGCACAGACAATAATAAAATTTTTTAAAAAGGGAACAAACCTCCCAGCAAAACACTTGCCCGATGATCCGATGGGAATTGGCAAAGTCAAGAGTTAACGTCAGAGCTGTCTGCATTTCAAGCTCTGAGTGTGATAAATCTGGCAAAGACGGGTTTCTTTGTAGCTATGGGAGTTTTTTGTGGGTCAGTAAATTTCATCACCCAGGAGGTATAAATGTATATTAAAATACTTTTAGAGGTGATATCGGGGATCATTTTTACAGGCCTTTGGTGAAACCTTCTCTGTTTGCTTGCTTTCAGCTATTGCCTGCCCCACCTCTAGATCTGTGCACTTGGCCTGCCAACTTCTACGTGGAAGTAGGCAGAGGTGCTGAGGACATATATTTGCTCTTTTGGAGAATAACAGACTCCTAGTTTAGCTACAGCTGGGACAGCCAGAGTCCAAAAATGTAGCCCAGGACGTCTGAAACTGCAAGTATATTTCTGATGTCTACTTGAACATCTGACTTTGACATCTTCCTTCCAGTTCTTTTTGGTATTTCACTGATTTCCTTCCATGGCCTTCTGAGCTTCTAGAGAGATTGCAGGGACAATTACCCTAGACTCCAGCCTTCCAGCTTACCTACTCCAGGGTTTCTCAACCTCAGTGCTGTTCGGGTTTGGGGTGGATGATTCTTTGTTGTGGGGAGCTGTCCTGGGCCCTACGGGGTAGTTGGCCTCTACTCACTGGATGTTGCTAATGTGTCTCAGGGTGACAGCCGAAAGGCCCGCAGATGTTGCAATGTCTCCGCGGCAGGGAGAATCATGCCGTGCTGAGGGTCTGCCCTAACCCAGCGTCTCATCCTTAGCTCCCGCCTCACCTGGAGAATCAGGCCCCGCTGAGGTTCTGCCCTAACCCAGCTTCTCATCCTTAGCTCCCGCCTCACCTGGAGAATCAGGCCCCGCTGAGGGTCTGCCCTAACCCAGCTTCTCATCCTTAGCTCCCGCCTCACCTGGAGAATCAGGCCCCACTGAGGGTCTGCCCTAACCCAGCTTCTCATCCTTAGCTCCCACCTCACCTGGAGAATCAGGCCCCACTGAGGGTCTGCCCTAACCCAGCGTCTCATCCTTAGCTCCCGTCTCACCTGGAGAATCAGGCCCCACTGAGGGTCTGCCCTAACCCAGCGTCTCATCCTTAGCTCCCGCCTCACCTGGAGAATCAGGCCCCACTGAGGGTCTGCCCTAACCCAGCGTCTCATCCTTAGCTCCCGCCTCCCCTGGTGCTCCTTGCACCTGAACATCTCCAGTGCTGGAGAACTCACTCCTCATCATCTCTGGAGACAGCTGGTGTCGGGAAACCCATCCTTGGCGTGAGTTCACACACGTCTCTCCAGCCTGCCCTCCACCTGCAGACCGAGTGGGCCTCTTCTGCTGCCCAGTCCTCCTCACTCTCCCTCGTGTTTGCAGAACTCACGGTGCCCGCCCCGTCCTTCTCTTCACTGGGTGTCCTCTGTATTGGCAGCACCTCCTCATAGGCAAGGGCTGCTCCTCCTCTCCCGTCCTCACTGATCTCAACGTCCTCGAGGGTCACCTTTATTTTTTTCTTTGTGTTTTTTCACTTTTCGTTGGAGCATAGTTGATTTACAGTGTTCTGGGTGTACGGCAAGGTGATTCAGTTACATATTTATAGATACAGATATTGAATAGACACATAGTGAATATAGCTCCCTGCGCTATACAGGAGGTCTTTGTTGTTATCTATTTCATATATAGTCGTCTGTATCTGTGTGTATCTGTATCTATTTTATATATAGTCGTGTGTATCTGTATCCCAAATTCCAAATTTATCTCTCTCCCCATCCCCACCTTTCCTCTTTGGTAAACATGAGTTTGCTTTCTATGTCTCTGAGTCTATTTCTGTTTTGTAAGTAAGTTCATTTGTATCACTTTTTTTTTGTAGATTTCATTTGTAGATATATGTGATATCATATATATTTGTCTCTCTCTGTCTGCCTTAACTCCACTTTGAATGATAATCTCTAGGTCCATCCAGGTTGCTACAAATGGCGTTATTTTAGTTCTTTTATGGCTGAGAAATATTCCACTGTATACACACACACACACACACACACACACACACACACACACATAAAGTACCTCTTCTTTCTCTATGCATCCGTCAGTGGACACTGAGGTTGCATCCGTGTTTTCTCCACTGTAAACCGTGCTTCTGTGGACACAGGGTGCATGCATCCTTCTGTGTTCCCTTTGAGCCTGGGAAAGTGAGAGACAGGGGTGCTGAGCACCGACCAGAGGATCTAGTGAGCAAGGGGCACTATTTTCCAGAAATTTCCACAGGTACATGCCTATGTCACTTCTGGGGAAATGAAAGCTACAGTGCAAGCAGCTGCCAGGGGCAGGTCAAACGTGCCTGGAAGGCTAGGAGGCTTCAGACGCTGCCCCGACCCGTCAGAGAGCAGAGCGCTGAGCCCCAGGGAGGAGGGAGGCCCAGCGCAGGCGGTGACGGTGCAGAGGCTGGGGCCGTTCTGGGCTGGAGCAGCTCGGCTCTTCCTTCTAGGGACCTACCCCCAGAGGCTGCGCACCTCGGCTTGCCTCTCCCTCGGGATATTTGTAAGGAGAGCATGCGAGAGACCATGAACGTGAAACCACTCTGCGGGCTCCAGGTGAAGGGCTGACTGCACCCGTGGGCCACATGCTATCTCCCAGTCACCGTCCGCCTCGCCAGTTGACTTCTTTGGGCCGTAGCCTCTCAACTCTAGCCAGACCGGGCTGCAACCGAGTTCAGTAGCAAGTTCATAAGGAAAACATTATTCAGGAAAATCTCTGAAATTCCATTAGCTTAATCTGATTTGAGTTATCAAATCAACATACATCTGTCTATCTCTCTTTTACTCCTCTGGATGGCGCCTAGCACTAAGGCACCCAGGTATTCAGACGGGCATATTACATTACCGCAGAGAAGAGGGGTCTGGGGGGGTCAAGAACACACACGGAGCCTCCCAGCACAGCCCCCCGGGGACATGGGGGGAGGCTGAGTCCTGACGGGAGAGCAGTCCCCTGCCGGCGTGAGTGCCCACGGACAATGGTGATGACGGCGATGGCAGCTCAAATGAGCTGTCTGTAAGTTGCGTAAAACCACTTATCGCAGCACCTGATATTTAACAGTAAAAAATACAGGTAATGTTTGTAACAGTAACTGACAGATACACACCAGTGATAAACTGCAATTTCACAAAAGCCTGTAAACATCTTGCACACTGTCAGTCCTTTCTGTTAGGCAAAGAGCTCTTTTGATGACAAAGGAACAGATACACACTCGAGTGAAATATTTTCAGTCAACACACAAAGCAGTTTTAATGTGATAAATTAAATAATCGTTTCTACCAAAATTGGAATTTGGATTCAAGTTTAAACCAGTGTTGATCCTCTTAAGGTTCAAAGAAGTGTAGACACATTGTCATCTGTTCAGATCAAGGCGCTGCCGGAATCAGGCTGCTTGAGTGAAGGGAAAACAGGAGAGAAGGAAGACATCGTGAACCAGTGGGGAAGTGGGCAGAGCACGGCCTTCGAACGAATGACACAGATCAAGGATGCAGCATAAACCGATCAGAATCAAACGGGTCAAAGATGGCAGGCAAGTCAACGTCACTAGACCCCGATCTTCAGTACACACTCATCCTCAGTGCACACTCATCCTCAGTGCACACTCATCCTCAGTGCACACTCATTGTAAGACATCAGCAAGCTAAGTGACACAGCCAGAGGCGCTGTGACAATTCCAAGGCTGACCGCCAAAGATCAGAGAGAGGCTGGTGGCCCAGCCCCTAGAAACTAGGAACTTTTCCCACAATAAGTTGGAATAGTCCTGTTCATCAGTCTATGAAATCACCCAGCCCATAACAGCTAACCACACTGCGTTTCGAGGCCGCATTCGCCCTCTGCAACAGCCCACACTGAGGAGTGTGACTCTCCCAAGGCTACTCTTGCTTTCTGAGATGGTCCAGACTCTGTCTGTGGAGAGTGTTTCTCTCTAGATAAATCCCCTTCTTACCTATCACTTAGTCTATCATGCAGTTCCCTCTGCGATGAGACATCAGGAAGCTGAGCTTCCGTAGGTCCTGAAACCAGGTCTGTGATCCCAGCTGGAAGACCGTGGGTTTTGCCAGGTCTGAGTCCTGGCACCTGGGTTCAAGTCCCAATCTGAGATGAATGGGTTCAATTGTAGATACATAGTTGCTTACCCAGTGGCTGTCCAATCCAGTTTCTTACCTTCCCAGTCTCTCCCCAGGCAGCATGCCCATGTGACCCCTTTTGACCCAGGGACCTTAGTGAGACTCAGCTTGTGATGGCTTCTGGGAGAGCTTCTGCCATCACGGCAAAGGAGAAAACGTGGACGGTGCTGCTTTCCTGCCTCCTTCCTGCCTTGAACGCACACTCCACCCAGCTCTGGCACCATCCTGAAACCATGAAAGAAAGGCAAGAAATGCACAGAGACGTCAGCCGTGGCGTTGCTGAGATGGGAAATTATCCTTCGTGTCTGCCTCTGTCTTGTTACATGTGACAAGTCAACTCCTGTTTAAACCACATTTGTTTTAAGCTGCTGTGAATAAGGTTTTTCTTACAGCCAGATAAATCCCTGGAAAATCCAGAGGCTCTGGAAAAAGAGATGGGAACATATTGAAGGCAAATTCGTGTTTCATTTTCTCTAACTAGAGCCAATAAGCAGAATTTGTCTACGAATAGCGTTCGCCACTTCTCTCGGATTCGCCAGGAGTCTTCAAGGGCTTCTCACAGCCTCTCACTGCTGAAGGCCGTTCCCCAAGCAATATGGGTCGGCAATCCTTTCTCTGCCACTTTCTGCCTGGCTTTGGGCAAAAGAAAAAACCTCTCTGCGCCTCAGTTTCCTCATTTATAAGATGTAGAAATTGTAAGGATTTTTTTTTTAAGCTAGGGGGACATCCTTGAAGCATACTCCCAGGCATATATCCAGAGAAAATCATAGCTTGAAGACACATACACCTCGGTGTTCACTGCAGCGCTATTTACAATAGCCAAGACATGGAAGCAATCTAAATGCCCCTCAGCAGAGGAATGGACAAAGAAGATGTGGCACATATATATGTGGAATGTTACTCAGCCGTAAAAAATGAAATAATGCCATTTGCTGCAACAGGGATGGACCTACAGATTGTCATACTGAGTGAAGTCAGAGAAGGACAGCTATCCTATGGTATGGTTAATATGTGGGATCTAAAAAAAAAGTTCATTCTACAAATGAACTTATCTACAAAACAGAAATAGAGCTACAGCAAGTAGAAAACAAACTCACAGGTTGCTGGGTGTGAGGGGAGGGGGAGGGGTAACCTGGGAGGTTGGGATTGACGCCTACACACTGCTAAATAAAAAATGGACAAAATAAGGTCCCTTCAGCACAGGGACCTCTGCTTCTTAATCGTCTGTGTGGGGAGAGAATCTTAACGATGTGGGGAGAGAACCGTTAAGGTTCTCTCGTTAAGAGAGCCGTTACCCGTGTATGTAGCCGACTCACTTTACTGTACTTCACTTTACTGAACACGGCAACGTAAATCAACTCTACTCCAATAAAAAGTATTCTAAAACTTTATATTATTCTCTTATCAGGGGAAAGAAACCTTTTCCATCACACTGATCTTTATCTTCCCCTTGTATATTTTGTTAGGTGTTTTCTGTTCAATATACATATATGTGTTTATGTGACAGATCAATGTTCAGCAACCTTTGTTATACATTCTTAAATGAAATAAAGCCCTTATAACTGTCTGTAGGAACGCAGTAGGTGATGGAGATGATGGTGCTGATAGAATGAAAGTTTGTAAATCACTGAATCACCCTGCAGACTCTACTAGAGTATGAGCACCACCAGAATCCCATTTCCCTGTAGCTAAACCCTACACCCTTGAACTAGGATTGCAGGGGCAGCAGGTTCATACCTACCATGTCCCACTTCCTCCTCTGCAAAATCTCCCTCAGACGCAATATGCTAAGTTATTGAGCCAACCTTTGAAGGTGTGTTGAAGGAATACCAAGTCTCCCTTCGGTTTATCCACCACCATCCTGACCCCTCCTTCATGTGTATTACCTGATTACGTGGATCGTCGAGTGTAATCAAACCTGATGGTGTAATAGCTTCCCTTTTCTCATTAAATTCCATCTTACCCAGTTCTGACCAAGATTCTCCAACATCTCGGTCTTTGGCAATTTTAACTTTAATTTGTCTTCTGCATTCGCCATTTGTCACTCATTTTGTATTATCTACAAATTTAATCTAGGTCGAATTTACTTTCCCCTCCAGGTTGTTAATGAGCACTGTCTATTGGATAATACGGTTTCCTGTACTGAGCCCTGTGGGATCCTTGATTCTTATTCACATTCAGATCTAATTTAAGATGCCACTAATTGTTACTTGTACTGACCATTTGTCAGCAGAGCCCCAAACTATGTTACCGTCAAATCTCCCAGACCCCACTTCTTTAATTGCTCTATGAATTGCTTGGGTCAGAGATTTCATATCAAATAAATGTTGAAATGATTTCCGCTGAATTCCCCTGTGGCGCTTCAAGTCCATAATTGTGTTCAGAAATGGCCATTGCTGGTATTAAGGAGAATAATTTGAGGCTTTTGAATCTGCCTGGCTCGTTGCTCATTAGATTCTCTTCCACCATGCGTGGACAGATCAATTTTCTTATTAAATTTCTTAAAGTCTTACCTGGAAAGGAAGGCAGACCCCGAGAATATTCATTTCCTGAGTCGTCATGTTGATGAATATTCCTCGACGTTTGGAGCCTTCCCAGATCCCAGGATCCTGGTTCTCTCCACAGCAGGTGTGGTGACTTTGAGGACCCCTGAAAGCCTGGAACGTCTCCCGCTTGTGTTTAAACACTGGAGCTTACCTACTCTTTACCAAGTTAGTAGCTTCTAACCGCATTATCTTTTAATCCAGTGGTTCTCAACCTTGGCCAGTGTGCCGCCACCCCTCTCCCCAAGCCCTTTGTCCCAGGACACTTGGCAATGGCTAGAAATGTTTTCAGTTGTCACAACTCAGAGATGAGAGACAGGGGCAGAGGTACTGACTTCAAGGAGGCAGAAGCCAGGAAGGTGGCTGATCATTCTGCCAGGCTCTGGACAGTCCCCACACACGGGGGTTCTGGCCTGAAACGCCAGCAGTGCTGAGACTGAGACATCTAATGACATCTAAGCTGTTCTCAAAACTGTCCCTCTCCTCCCCCATCGCCGCCACTCAGAAAAGATGGAGGAGTTAATCTAGCAGAAGAGTAAAGACACCTGTCCCCTGTGGCTGGTCACTTAGCTCTCTGGATGGCAGCATTACTTTGGGTGGGAGTGAGGATTGAATTAGAGATAGTTCACGTTTACTTATTTGACTGTGTTGGATCTTTAGTTGCAGCATGTGGGATCTAGTTCCCTAACCAGGAATCAAACCCGGGACCCCTGTATCAGGAGCACGAGGTCTTAGCCACTGGACCACCAGGGAAGTCCCTGAAGATAGCACATTTCTAAATCCTGTTTCAGCTCTCTCCCTCCCTCCCTTCTTTCCATTCTCCTTTCTTCCTTCAGTAAGTATTTACTGAGTGCCAACCATAGGCCAAGCACTTCCCTAGTACAGATGTTAACAGAACAAATGAAATCCCTACCCAATGGGAACTGATTTTCTAACTGGTGAGTGAGAAAATACTTCGGAGAAAACATTTCAAAGACCATTAAGAAAGAAGATGAAGAAGAAAGGGCATAGTTCTGAGATATGTGCCGTGACCACCCTGATTTCAGTGGCTGGAAACTCAGTTCTTTTGGTGACTCAGATGGTAAAGAATCTGCCTGCAGTGCAGGAGACCCGGGTTTGATCCCTGGGTCAGGAAGACCCCCTGGAGGAGGAAATGTCTACCCATTCCAATATTTTTTTTTTCCACTCCAGTTTTCTTGCCTGGAGAATTCCACGGACAGAGGAGCCTGGAGGGCTACAGTCCACGGGGTCGCAGAGAGTTGGACTTGACTGAGCGACTGACACTTTGATGTTTCACTTTCATAGTTGATTTACAATGTCATGTTAATTTCTGCTGTACATTGAAGTGATTCATTTATACATATATACTTTTTTTTATCAAGTTTTGAGGAAAAGGGTCTAAGTGTTTTACTAAGGAGATATGTATTGTTGCTATTGTTTTTCTTTTATTACATGCACCAAGACTTAACTGTTTGCCATGGAGAAGAAACCGTCCAGCCTAAACATGAATCTAAGTTGTACTTTGTCTGCAGAGCTACCATGCTTTTTATCTAGGTCATGCAAAATCTTATAGAGATGGACATTGGGATTTAACACCTGGGTTTGCTACTGATGAGCTATGTGACCTTGAGCAAACTTCTTAATCTTTCTGAGGCTTAGATTTTAAGGAAATAATGACACTTGTTTCATACAGTTGCTGTAAGGATTTAATGAGATGCTGTATATTGAGAACTTAACACATTTCTCAGTACTTTGCAAAGCACTCAGTTAAGGACTTATTATAATGTTCACGTGGAGGGGACAGCCTCACTCACATTTTATTTGTC